GTTTTGCTTTGTTTCACAGAACTAATCGTTGCCTGGTTTGCGTACGTATGTGTGGGGCAGAGCTATCAAAATGGGGACGAGACCCTTTTGGGGTAGGGGCGTGTTTGTTTTGGTGATTTCAAATGTCAACATTGGCTACCAGAAATCGCTTACCCCACCTTTAATATTTTTGTGAAAACTGATACATTTTTTTTTAGAATTCTTTGATGAACACAAAGTAAAAAAAAACAGCATTTATTTTAAATAGAAATCTTATTGTAGGTTTAAAACATATTTATCTTTAAACAGCTTAAGTAATAAAATTACATAAGGCCTAAAAAACCATCAGATTTCAGAGATAGAAATTTGTCCTGATGAAATTTCAAGTCACTGAAATCTCTTGCTTAATTATTTTGGGTTTGTTGTTTGTTGTCCAGGCCTGGGTAAAACTATATTGCCCCGGATGGAAGGTCTCGTGAAGTCGGCTAGCCTTCTGTACTTCCGTGTCTTTAAACACCAGACGGTTGACTACTTCAATTCATCGATCAGTGTTTTCTGGAACACTCCTGTGATGGCGCCTGCTCTTTTCTTCTACTCTGAGAACGATGCACTGTGTGATTGCAAGAGCTTGGAGAAGATGGTGGAGTTCTGGAGGAGCCGCGGCCAAACTGTGGAGAGCAAGAAGTGGAAGGAGTCTGTTCATGCAGGTCATCTGCGCACACACCCTCAGGATTATCTGTCCACGCTGGAGTACTTTGTGCAGTCTCTCAACATGGTGCCTCTGAAGGCCAAAATGTGAATTTTGAAGGCTGTCATCCGTCTCATTAAAACATCCAAGTTGCCTGAAGTGCCTGATTTTATTATTACATTGACATTTTCATGCTCTTTGTTCAAGTGGTAACTTTGGTCTTGCAAAATCTGACTGTTTCTCAAACTTCTTCAGTCTGTTGAAATATTTATGTAACTACATGAAACCCTTTTCATTCAAAAATTCATACCCAGTCCAAAAGAAGAATCTGAGCTCCTTTTGAAGACTGTAGCACTGTTATGTTAGGGACGTGCAATACTTCAGTTAGGTTTATTGCACTACAATGTGAAGCTCTTGTACTTTGTCCAACATCTGTTCGGACCTCAAAATGACTTGACATACAAAACTCTGTATCATTATTTTGTTGTAGATATTTTTTTGCTAAACCGTAAGCACTTGAATAACACTTAAACGTTTTTTTTCCCGACCTTTTGTTAATAGTGAATTATAGTTTATATGACAACTTGACTTAACATTTAACATCTAGTTATGATTAAGTATTCATATTTCCTTATGAGCTGATTCGCTACAATAGTATGTTCTTTTGAATATACTGTCCTTTGATCATTTATCTGTTACCTCAAAAGGAAAGTTATTTTTAAATCTACAGAAATGACTTACTTTAAATTTGTCAATGACGAAATCTGAAGTAAATTAATAAATTAAAAACATAATACACTGTTTGACACAATCCTGGTAAACCTATGCAATGTTGTTTTTCTAGCAATGACGTGGTTTGTTCAGGTACCTATGCAGACAATATGGTAAATACAAGTAAAGTGGGACACTTAGGTTTTTGTATTACATGATTTTATATTTTTTATTCTGTATAGTGTAATAGAAATCTTTAGTTTATACCAACTTGCATATTTTAAAACAACGTTTATGGCAAATTTTCGAAGTGTCCTGTTTTAGTGCATCAATACAATAATGAAGGTTTTTACTTTTTACATCTTGCAAATGTCAAATAAATGATTCCGATTGTTGATGTGTTTTGTCTGTTTAGACGAGAAGTCTAGCAAAAGGGTTGGCAAGAACATAATTTGGCAGAATTTTGTTTAAAATGAATGACTCGAGTTGTTTTCCTCTAGAGGGCGCTTGTCGACTCGGACACTGCGGGAAACTTATGAGCACTAAAATCTATACTGGTGTAAATGCAGTAGTATTTTCCAAATAATTTACAAACTCTGTTATCTTGCACAATGATTATTGCTAATTAAAAAGTGAAACGTAATTCATTTTCATTAAATGGTTTTAAAGATTTACATCTAGTAATCACAAATGAATGTGATTAGTCTCTCTTTACCAGCGCTGAGAAAAGTAACAGGTCCCCCATGAAAACCTCGTTCTTATAAGTTGTTTTAGCAAAGGTATTAAAAGTCATTTTAAACTGAATAATAACACTGGGAATATTTATAGACATTTAAACGAAGAGAGATAGAGAGGGAGGGGAAAAACAGTGAATAGCTAAAATATAAAAATTATAATTTAGACCAATTTTACGTGGGCCACTAAGCCCCGCCCACTTCATTACTTTGGATGTGAATTGAATTCTTCGAATGCTAGATTAGAAAGTAAACAAGCACACCTTTTTCTGTACATTTCCCATAACTAACAAGCATAATCTCATGACCATTTCTCCTATCAATGTCTCCCTGTGTTCCATTAAGATGTATGTAAAACAGCTCGCTTTGTGTTTCTGCTTCGGCCTGAGGCATGAGTGAGTGTTACGCATCTGAAGGAATGAGAACGTGCTTTCAGGCCTGATCATGAGTGCAGGAGGCTGAGGCAGGGTTCAGAGATGATCCGCTTCTCATGACCACAAACCCTCTCAGTCCCACCAGGCAGCAACATGGATGATGATTTCAGGACGCCCACCAGTGGCGCAGATAACACGCTGTTTGGAGAGACTTTTACGCGGGTGAGAGAAACAGTTACTGCTTTTTACGTTTAGTTTTTAAGTGTTTATCAGCATTAATGCAGAAACACGAATTTTAAGATTGTTTAATTGCTTATTGATCAAGGCAAAACTCTTGAGCAGGCATTACAGGACTCTTAAAGGGAGATCATGAAGCAGAATTAAAAGGAATTTAGTATGCACAACATGAACTTGGATATATGGAAAGATTTTCATCAAATCAAACTAGTTGAACTGACTAAATTTACCCCCTGTATTTGTTCGTCAACTTCTGTTTTCTTTCAGCACATGGCTGTTAATCTGGCTATTGGTGGACTCACATCTCTGTTTGTCCTAGTGAGTATTAGTGACCACACACACACACACACACGTACGTTTAGTTAGCTATCTAAATGAGGACACTGCATAGACTTCTATTGTTTTTATATACAGCTACTTACCAATACTATAAACAAACCCACACTCTGTATTTTTACAGTTTAAAAAAAATTATTGATCCATCCAACTGCAACTGGCTAGTTGTACCTGAAAATTGAATTGATTTTTTAAACCCCTCTCCTTACTTTTTCAGGTAACTGTCATCAGTTCGTTTGTCTTCCCTACACCTCCTCCAACAGCATTAAATATTTTCTTTGTGCTCTGCATCATCATGATCTGTTCTTCTGTATTGGTGCTGGTTAGTTCTGTATCTACAAAATTTCTATATATGATCTATGTGGTTTAAGTTTTTCCAACTCCGTTATAATCATGAATCTAAATCAAAATCTTTATCGTTTTTGTCAAATCATGGGAGTTTTACAATTTAGTTTTCTACTGTGCTTCATGGTCACAGTGCTTGTAACAAGATGATTGATTCTTTTGGGTGATTTTTTTTTCTAGTGTTTATATATACAATACAACATATGTATATAATTTGCTAAAAATGTTTCTCTGTTTTTGTAGATATTCTGGTATCGTCAAGGTGATCTGGATCCAAAGTTTCGTGGTCTGATTTATTATTCCATAGGTCTCATTATCCTCCTCTGTCTGTGTGCCAATCTGTACTTCCATGATGTTGGAAGATAACATGATTCAGACACACCACTTGACCTTCGTAATTCTGTCAAGCACAATAAAAAGTGATTTATTTGTCAGAAGTGAGCCTCACAGTTTTGATTATGTGTGCATAGGTGATAAGATGCTTGTTCAAATCTATTAATGCTTTTTTTAAAATATATATTTGGACAGTGTACTTTTTGTAATTGTTTTTTTTTTTGACAAAGCTGACTATTTTGTACATTATTTTCTGTTGCTGTCAAGAGTCAGTCATGCTAAATAAAGCAGCATTTCAGTTAGTTGTGAAATATTGTGATTTTTGTTCTGTGAACAATACTGGTGCCAAAGTTCTGAACACTGGCAATAAATAAAATAGTATACATGTACTATGGAAGTGAAATATTTTATGGGTTGGAGACCATTATGACTATTGCAGTGAGTCTGGATTCTCTCTTCATGAAGAAAACAAAATAAGATAATTTTGTTTTATACATACAGTGCACTGTTATTGGAAAGTTGACGGATAACATGGTCTTTTTTCAGATTTAAAATTTTAAGTTAATTAAATGTTTAAGAAAAAAAATGTTTAAATAGTTTTTAATACAGCATAGCGTTCCACGTTGTGATTTCTTTGAAACGACTGACATCTTGTGGTGTGCATATGAATAACAATCACAAATGCTTTGGATTATTTTATTAGTAAATGTAAAAGCAGTGTTCTGAATGTTCATTGTCCTTATTCGAATATATTATAGATATTATTATTATATTTATGACTCTACGGTGTGTAATTATACAAATAATTTGATTGTCACCCTCAAACTTTAAAACATTAAAACACTTCAAGTAGATATGTACTCTTTTAAGCTACTCGTTTTGGGACTAATTTGGGTAACACCGTTGTGACGTTATTTCTACGACTTCAAAGCGGCTCCGTCAGATGACGTTCTATGTTGACGTCGCTCGCTGGTATGATGGGACGGTCCCGTTATTCAATTCGGCAAGCGATGGAGCGCACGAGGAAGACCATTGTCCGCCACCGAGGCCGTTTTGCACTGGATCATACGGCGTGGATATGTTTTGTTTTCATCCTGAACGCGTCCGTGGCGTCTGCCGCTCACCTGCGCCCGTGTAATGAGGTGAGAGATCATTCCCGCTGATGTTTATTGCGTTTCTATACATTTATTTGTACTTTTGGGATCAGTCTCTTTACTGACACGTGCAGCAAGATAATGTAGGTTGTCACACCTTACAATAACCAAAGTAACAGGTGCCTCAGATACTCTACACAGATCGAAAAGCCCTAACCAGTGAGAAGTAGGCTGACTGAATAAGGTAAAAAGCTGGTTTAAACGCTCAATATCAATTGTTATTTATGGCTTTCTTTGCTTTAACATTTCTGTGAACAATACTGGTGCCAAAGTTCTGAACACTGGCAATAAATAAAATAGTATACATGTACTATGGAAGTGAAATATTTTATGGGTTGGAGACCATTATGACTATTGCAGTGAGTCTGGATTCTCTCTTCATGAAGAAAACAAAATAAGATAATTTTGTTTTATACATACAGTGCACTGTTATTGGAAAGTTGACGGATAACATGGTCTTTTTTCAGATTTAAAATTTTAAGTTAATTAAATGTTTAAGAAAAAAAATGTTTAAATAGTTTTTAATACAGCATAGCGTTCCACGTTGTGATTTCTTTGAAACGACTGACATCTTGTGGTGTGCATATGAATAACAATCACAAATGCTTTGGATTATTTTATTAGTAAATGTAAAAGCAGTGTTCTGAATGTTCATTGTCCTTATTCGAATATATTATAGATATTATTATTATATTTATGACTCTACGGTGTGTAATTATACAAATAATTTGATTGTCACCCTCAAACTTTAAAACATTAAAACACTTCAAGTAGATATGTACTCTTTTAAGCTACTCGTTTTGGGACTAATTTGGGTAACACCGTTGTGACGTCATTTCTACGACTTCAAAGCGGCTCCGTCAGATGACGTTCTATGTTGACGTCGCTCGCTGGTATGATGGGACGGTCCCGTTATTCAATTCGGCAAGCGATGGAGCGCACGAGGAAGACCATTGTCCGCCACCGAGGCCGTTTTGCACTGGATCATACGGCGTGGATATGTTTTGTTTTCATCCTGAACGCGTCCGTGGCGTCTGCCGCTCACCTGCGCCCGTGTAATGAGGTGAGAGATCATTCCCGCTGATGTTTATTGCGTTTCTATACATTTATTTGTACTTTTGGGATCAGTCTCTTTACTGACACGTGCAGCAAGATAATGTAGGTTGTCACACCTTACAATAACCAAAGTAACAGGTGCCTCAGATACTCTACACAGATCGAAAAGCCCTAACCAATGAGAAGTAGACTGACTGAATAAGGTAAAAAGCTGGTTTAGACGCTCAATATCAATTGTTATTTATGGCTTTCTTTGCTTTAACATGTAGGAATCAGACTGTCACACTGTCAAATACCGTT